ATCGCAGTCTAGGTCCTATATAAATAGCTTTAATAGGCTTTATAGCGCAATAATAGGCTTTGCAATTTATAAGTATTCTTCTACAAATTATTAGTAGAATTCTATAAAGCTAAGGAACGACTTTACACTAGTAACGGTGGTGGGCTGGACCTAGTTTTAGAGGGCTTTGACCTTATTAGGATCTACCTCTAGGCCTTAGTCTATAAGGATGTACCCCAAGTACTTAGTCTATGTAACGATGTTACAACTTCGCCAAGTATTGATCCAATCCCAGAGCCGGATCGGAGGAAGTACCTGCCGCCCTTCATCAGCCATTCGCCCGAGGTCGGATCCGAATTCGGACCCGACTAGGATAGGTATATATTGAGACACTCCCTGTAGCTAGCTCTATAGACTTTTGATATCCTTTCATACAAGGCCTATAGGTGGCTTGTTGAATCTAGGCTCTTTGTGATCCCACGCACTCCCATATGCCTCTGAGTGATCCTACGACCGAAACAGATCCGACCTGCCTTACCTGCGCCGTTACAGTCTAAGTGACATAGAATTCGCTTTTCTTGATGTCTACTTAGAGTCTTGCTTATTAGAGCCTTTCTAGTACCTTATAGACGTGCTAAATATGTTCTAACATAGACTTAGAGTATATTAAGATGTCGTCTAAATAGGCTATGCAGAAGTTGTTAAGGTACTTAATTAACACATTATTCATGTACTACTAATATGTTGCTAGACTATTGCATAGGCTAAATAGCAATACCTTAGTCTTATACGTTCTATAGTGTAACGGGCTAGGTAGCCCGCTACAGTACAGATAGCGGTGGCTATCTTATGTATCAACTACGCAACGATATCAGCAGCTCTGATATCTTGTGCCAGCCTTTTTGGCGCGGTGGGCGCGTTGTAGTTGCGTGCGCAGTCTAATAGGACTCGACCCGTTACATCCCCTAGCATCACCTAACGTGTGACTATACACTATTGCTATCTAGTGGCGTTCTATAGGGAAGTGATCTTCGTTTAATACAAGACAGTCTTCTACTTTAGCTTACTATTGTAGGAAGGTAGGATCTTTCCTATCGCTTAATTAGCTAATAGTGGATGAGATAAGACGGCTTAGTTGGCCACGTAGAGCCTTGGGGGTGGTGGACAGGAACCTTAGTAATTAGCTTAGAGGTTGTCCTACCGTTGTTGGTGGGGATTTGGTAGTAGGTACGATATTATTTCAGAGCTCTATATTCTCTTAAGTCAACCAGCGGACTTAGTCTAATAGGCTAGCTATCTGTCGCTGGACGTCCTTTATAGAGAGCTCTGGCTCCGAATCGTCTTCGTCTTCTACTTCCCGTGGTGGTGAAGTCTCTAGAGATTCCTAGGCTAGCATCTTGCTAGCTTTCTTCTCTAGAATAGTTTAGTCCTATATTTAAACTAATTTCTAGGGGGATTCCTTAGAACCTCTAGTTCTTATAGGGTTAACTATTAGCGATTGCCTCTAAGGTTAATAGGTTATTAGTAGTCTCTATGTCTCTACCTTAGCGCACTCTACGCGACTTTTTTTAAAGTAATCTACCTCGCGAGGAGCGTAGAAGTTCTAAACCTAAAGGCCTTAGTTAATAGGAGATCTATAGAATCCTGCCTAAAATAAATGTTAGATGTAATCGTGTAAGTACTTAGATTAGTTCTAGATAACTTTAGGGCTTAGACGTGATCTTAAACAAACAGCTGCGATATTGTTTAGAAGCCGTTACTAGCTAGGACGAGACTTTTAATATAATGTAACGGCGCAGGTAAGGCAGGTCGGATCTGTTTCGGTCGTAGGATCACTCAGAGGCATATGGGAGTGCGTGGGATCACAAAGAGCCTAGATTCAACAAGCCACCTATAGGCCTTGTATGAAAGGATATCAAAAGTCTATAGAGCTAGCTACAGGGAGTGTCTCAATATATACCTATCCTAGTCGGGTCCGAATTCGGATCCGACCTCGGGCGAATGGCTGATGAAGGGCGGCAGGTACTTCCTCCGATCCGGCTCTGGGATTGGATCAATACTTGGCGAAGTTGTAACATCGTTACAGGCCAAGGCGAGTCTAGACAGTTGGCGACTTACGATAGCGATAGCGATAGCTCGCCATCAGCCTCAAAATGTGTACACTATGCTATTAGACTTTTGGGTCCGGCTTAAACAAGAACAAGTAACGAGGGGGCTAAAAGTTTCTTGTGAGGCTTTGACCAAAATATTGCCCCATTGTGCTTAGAGTCATCCAAAGTTCCACCAGACCACCACGGATCACCGCACGTATCCAGATACAGAACCTTTGACTGCGCCGCCGTATTCCTCTCGTTAACATCAAACCAGCTACACAGTTGTATGGAGCCGGCATGGGAGATTTCGCAGCACTGTCCGCAAACGGATTGCTACTGGACAGAGACATGGGCAAGGAAATGAGAACATGGGATCTTGCACGATTTATCCAGGCGACATACCCACAGTCGGCTCGATCGCACCTATCGTATCTTCTGCGGTACAGTCGTGGGGGGGGGGGTGGGGGCGCCACGACTCTGGTCCGCGGAGCGTGTCTGCCCTCCCCTGAAGGTCCCGTTGTTTTGGCATGGCATTGCCTGCTCTCACTCCTAGCAGTGATTCGGGTATCGGAGCAACAATTGGAGCGACATGCAGGTATACCAGGGAAGATGCTGACATTGACCTCAGTTGCCAAGCTCATGGGAAGTGGGCCGTGGGGTAGACGATCACGGAGGCGTTGCTTTGGCACGCAGCAGCGACGGTGGCTTCAGTTCCTGACGTTGGTGTCGCCCTAACCCAGCGCCTCGGGTTCGCTGGCAGAACGTTACCAAAGAAAAAAACAAACACTTGTCATGGCACCTAGGTGTACGAGGTCCAGGAGAGGGTCCAGGGTCCAGGAACCAGCAAACAAAGCCATATAGTACAGTGGTATGTGGCGTTTACTTGGGCGCCGTCACTTGGCCGAACATGGGTCGAATCGGCAAGGGCGTTTTGCACTGGAAACGAAGCCGACCAGAAACGCAGGGCCCCACTGACCGAAGGGGCATCAGTCTGTGCATCTGCTCCCTACCATATCGTGAAAATTGGGCGAGCAAGCTGTCGAGGGTGTTTGGCGAGATTATGGCAACATTGAAGAGCGCAAGCACTACTGTGCCGTATCGATGGAATAGGAAGGCATGTGCAGACCCATGGGAATCAGCGTGACGAGCATGGAAGCCCTGCTTTGAGGGTTGGTGGTATAGAGAGTTCCAGGTGTGCGTCTGTACCGTTGAAGGGCCGTCTGACTTGCAGCCACACAAGACACACTTGACCATGAACGGCTTGGGGTGTAGTAGGTTGGGTGCTAGCTGGCCGATGGAGTGGTTTGATTGGTGACTGAAATGATTGACTGGAGTTTTCTTTGGAGACGGCAGTTAATTCTTGCACACTTGTCCGCGACTCAGCGCCACGCGGCGCCGCCTGTGCTACGGCGCAGATTCGGGGAGGGGGTTACTTGACCAGGCGTTGGCAGCCTGGCTGTCGGGGGAGCATGTCATGAGCGGGAGGCGGGAGGGGCCTGGGCGTGTTCTGGGCAAGGGGTGGGCCACGGGCTGTATTGGCTGCTGGTTCGCTGTGACTCGCAAGACGGCGAACTCGTGGAGGGGGCAGGGGCGCCAGGCGGACGCAGATGCAGCGAGAGTCATGGCGATGGGGTGGGCGTGGTTGGCGGGAGGCAGCAGAAACAAGCGATGGTGTTGAGGGAGAGACGGATGGGCTATGTGCGGTGACGACGTCGAGCCGGGGGGGAAAAGCGCCTATTGGCTGGCGAGGGGATCCTGGCCGCCAATCAGGCTCGGGGCTGCAGGGGGGGCCGACAAAGGGACAGGCCGGCTGTGTATCAACTTGTCGCTGTCGCCGTCGTGGCTGTCTGAAAAGACGTCATGTTTTCTTGGGCACATCAACATACATCTACATACATCAACACACATGTACTCCATCCAGACATGCATCTTGTGCAGTCGCTTCTCCGCAGCGCTTGCGGGCGTTGGCGCGCCGTGTCCGTGTCCGTCTGCAATATGTATCCAGCATGGTGGAAACATGTTTGTCGTATCCTCATTTCCCAACGGCGTGCCAGAGACAGTCTGACAAGTGACAGCCCGGGTCGGCGCCACGGCTGGGCGACGCCATCCTAATCACAATCTTATTGCTGTAGTGACCCGCCTGGGCTGGCCTGCTACACTGCATACACCATACACCAGCGCCCAGGCGATCGGCGCGCATCCTACTGCCACTGCTACTACTACATTCCCACAGGGCCGATCCACCGTCGGCTGCCATTCTAGTGCATTTGTCGCGCGTCCCTGCACCCCCCAGCGCCGTGTACCGTACCGTCTGCCGCAGTGCAGCATGTGTGCGTGTGTGTGTACATGTATGTGCCTTGGTGTTGTGTGGCCACGTCGGGGATCCCATGTGCGGACGTGCCATGGACCTCGCACGCTACAGGGAGACTACTCCCCAGACGGCTACGAGCAGTCGAGGTGGAGAGCCATGTGCCTGCCACGAATGAAGAAAGGCCCTGGCTTGACTGCATCTTTTCTCTCCCTCTCCCTCCCTCCCCCCCCCCTCCTCTCTCTACTTAAGCCTATTGCCTACCCCTTCACCACTACCACCACCATCACCACCACCACCACCACGCGTGCCGGCGCTACCAGCCTTCGCGAACCATCGGCCGGTAGCTCGACCACGCCTCAGCTGCCCACCGACCCGACTATCCACGTAGGCCCTCTAGTCGCCCTCTAGCGGGCACTGACCCGACTCTGGATATCCGCCCTTTTATCCCTCGACCAAGGGCGTATATAGCTTCACTCGCTGCCAATTGACTGCGGCCAAGCATTTGCTGCCGTCTTCTCTCGTCACTGCCAAGCCATCACCATCACCACCGCCAGCCCACCATGGTCTACTCACTGCGCTATCGCCGACCCGGCCGCGTCTCGGTCGGCGACCACGTCTCCGCCATCTCTACCGACACCAAGCGGCAGAACATCTGTGAGTCGGTCAAGTCTGGCCGCAGTGCCATGTCCAACGGCATTCCCGAGGCGCTGTCCTTTGACACCATCGTTGCTGGTGGTGCTTGCCCGGTAAGTGCTTCTTTCACCGCCTTCCACCATCACGTCACACGTGCTCCCCACGATGCCCTCCTACCACGCCAGCCTCTGCGCTTCCTTCTAGAAGCGCACGCACTGACTGCTGCCAGCCCTGCACGGTCCGTGATTTCATGAACTTCCTCAAGTACATTGAGCTGTCTGCCGAGAACCTGCAGTTCTTCCTCTGGTACCGCGACTACGCCAAGCGCTTCGAGGCCCTGCCCGAAAGCGAAAAGGTCCTGTCGCCTGAATGGACCGGAGATCCACAGATGCCCGAAAAGACCAGCCCACTGCCCTACAGTGCCGATGCTGCCAGAGCCCTCAAGGGAACTGACTTCGCCATCGAGGGCCGCGTGGTGGAATCCGACAAAGGCAGCAACGACCCCTTCCACACCCCCCCTCGCACTCCCAGCAGCATTGGCAACAGACCAGGCCAGTCGTTTGATTCCAGCTATGAAAGCATGAATGCATCCCGGATTGATCACACCGAGCGTGCTGATGGTGCGTTTGAAAACGCCGGCCTCAAATGGAAACCACGTAAGTATGGCTTTTACTGACGTTCTTTCTTCTTCTCTCTAGGCTCCAAGCGCTCATGCCCCACAGTCTCCGTCCAGCCTTACCGAGAAGAGATCAGCCGCATCATCTCCATCTACATTGCCAACAATGGCCCGCGACAACTAAACCTCTCGTCCAGGGAGACGTCGTCACTGATGCATGCCCTCCAGCACACAACACATCCGTCTGCCTTTGCCGAAGTCATCACATCGGTTGAATGGACGCTTCGCTGTCAGGCACACCCCAACTTCATCCGCTGGACCATTTGCAACGGCAACCGTCCTCGTGTAGTCTTTGCCCGTGGCCTCGGTGTCGCCGGAATCGTCGCCGGGCTCGTTGCTGCCATTATCCTTACCCTCAGCAGCGCCGGGCGTGCATGGCGTGTGCTCTCGTTTATCGGTTTCTTCATTGGCATCTCTACGCTGATTGCCGCGTGGAAGGGCATGTGTGTTGTACTCCATGGCATGCACCATCGACATGTTCGACCATGGGAGCTTTTTACGTCCGACGACGAACCACACGACTTCGACACCAAGGCTGACTCGTTCGCGAGCATGGATTCTCAGGCATCGAGAAACTCTTATGAGGATGAGCCGTGGGTTGCGCGATACGAGAAGCGCAACCTCATCCGCAAGGTCTTTGATCGCGAGGTTTGGATCCAGGAGCCTGCTCTGCGCCAGATTCAAGACACCATCTTCATCCAAGCCATTCTCGGTGCCCTGGTGCTGTCTGGCGTGGCCGTTGGCATCTTTTGCGCCACTCCCAAGGGCAACCTGTTCTAAGCCCATGGTGCCTTTGCAGCGTGCCTTGCACACTCTAGACGATTTACTTGCATCTTTTCTTTTGATACCCAGTTACCATGTCCGGACGGCATGCATTCGTCACCATCTCGGGCTGTGCCTGGGTGGTGAATATTTGTCATTTAACGGACGTTCCTCGCCAGACAATGTACAAAATACCTTTATGTTCCAGGCGGCTGTTGTGTGAGGGGGGACGGAGAAAAAAGGGACTAGCGCATGGTTCAGACTCTGATATAGCCGATATGACAAGACATGTTTAAATGTAATGGCGTGCACGCGAGCGTCTCTGGAACCAGAACGCTAGGCAGCATGATGATTGCAGTAGTGATTGTGGCTGTGCACTGACCAAGCAGATTGCTGTTGTCGTACAGGGCCATGGAGAATGTGGCGAGGCGCATGCAGGATAGACTTGGTGTGTGGCGGTGCTGGGTGCCGTGTTACCGCTTTTCCGGAGCCCGCCGAAGGTTGACATCTTACTCGATTCTAGTCGGGGGTTGCTGAAGTTCGGTATACTCATGTATATTCATGTATACGGCCGGTTGCTGGGCAGCATCGCGGCAAGCGTGTATCCGTTGAAGCTCCATGTCCTATGCATGGTAGGCTATACTGTCTGCCTGGGATGGGGGCCAGAACTGCCATCAGCGTCTCCTGACGTGGGCCGAGTTGCTATTTTTTGATCAGGGTCTTGGTGAAGGAGCCTGCTTGGGAATATTGGGAGGCAAACCCCAACACGCAACCACAACTCTTGCATCCCGCGACCCAGCAATACATACGCAGCGAGGCCGTATCCTCGTCATGCCACGTCTGGCGCGTCGGTCTAGGGCTGTCGGCGCCGTGACGGGCGCGTGAACTGGCGGTGGACGTGGTCGCTGGCGTGCAGCAGCTTGGAGAGGGCTGCCAAGCGAGCGAATAAGCGTGCGCCGGCGGTGGGGTTGCTGCATGGAGAAGGCGCGACCCGCAATTCACACCGGGCTCAATGCGTCACCTAGCATCTCTGGAGCAGCATTCCAACATGTCCGCTGCCGCCCTGCTGTCCGATCTTCTCGTCTCTTCCATGCCCATCGTGCTGCTCGTGAAACCGCCCTAGTCGTTGCTTCTGCGCTCAAAACCAATGCACGTGCTAAGCGCCCGTCTCACCTTGCCCGTCTGACCTCTTCACTCACACTCCCTCTCCATGTCTTACGGATACGACAGCCGCTACTACCAGCGTCCGCGCCATGATTCTTACTACACAACGCCGCGCGATGCAGACATCTACGCATACTCGCGCCACGACAAGTCTCTGGCCGACGAACTGACAGACATGCGCGCCAACAATCCCTACGCCTCTTCCTACCCCTCCTACTCCTCCTACTCCTCCCGCACATCGCCTCCCCGGCCCTCTGCCTCGCACGCATACAGATCACACAGACGGAAGAAGACATGGCCGCCGCCCCCCAGCGTCGAGGACGAGCCCGACGCCCTGGCAAAAGAAACGCCCTCGGTTGCGTCATCGCCACAACAACGGCAGGACGACGGTGAGCCGCCCGTCAACACGCGGGGAGCCGTCGACCAGGAATCCATCCTCGACGAGATCGAGCAGCCAAAGCCTGCACAAGATGCAGCTCCGTCCAATAGCTCTGGCGAGCGCCCGCGGAGGAGCTTCGCAGAGCGTGGATACGCGCCGCACATTAATACCAACGTTCCAGACCCGCCCGTCTTGATTGAAAGAGAAAGGACGCCTTATGGCTATTCGCATTCACAGAAGGAGTCGACCGCTCCTGGGCGGGCCGATTACATACGTTCGCCAGAGGCCATGACCCCCTCCAGCAGTGCTTTCCCGAGACCAGACCCAAGTCGCGATGCTGGAGACACGCACAAAGACTTCAGCGGCAGAGCCTCGAGGCCAAGGCCGAGCGGCAGCCGCCCCAGCTCCTACATAAACTCCTCCCGGCCGTCGGGCAAAGACTACGTTGTGGATTCCGACTCGGAGACCGATAGCATATCCCGCCTCCGAACCGAACGAAAGCCGGCACGATACAGCTTCGTGAAGAGCGATCTACAAAGGGAGGATTTGAGGACGAATTTGCGAGACACACAGACGCGCCCGGAATCGACAAGGCGTGATTCATGGCACCGTCCACCACAACCGCGCAAGGAAGATTCATCCAACTCGTCCAAGGAAAACTCATATGGCCAGTCTCCGCGCTCCTCCAGCTCCTCTTTGAACAACAGCGCACGAAAGCCGAGGCCGGTTCCTGTGGATGCTCCCTATACCAATGGCTCGCGTCCCGTGTCTAGACCAAGCTCGCCGTTGCCATCTCAACTCCCAACGCGGCTCAAGGAGACGCCTCCTGGGACGCGGCCTTCTTCCCGAAGTGGCGGCCGACCCGCTTCTCCGCTGCCTTACTCGGCTTCTTCACCTAGCCATGGTCGCTTTCCCATTTCCGAAGACGACCGGCACTCTACTTTTTCTCCAGCATCTGCCCGCGACAGGTCAAGACCCCCTTCTCGATACGGCAGACACGAAACGATGCCGCTCCCAAAACCTCGCATCGATGTTCAGAGTCCCTCGCCGGCAAGGCCGCCCTCTTCGCACTCTACTTTGCCCTATCCAATGGACGACCAAATGATTGATGTCTCTATGCCACCAGAACAACACTACCAGTTTGACCACTCAGCCGTTGCCTCGCCCAGACAAGATTATATCGAACCTCCCCGACCCTTATCGCCAGTCGCTGTTGGCTCTCCATACATTAGAGATACTCAAGCCCACCCAAGCAGACAGGACAGCATCGAAGATCCCGCGCTTTCCAGGAGAGCAAGATCGAATAGCGTTCGCTCGCAAGATGGTCGCAGGGACAAATCCACGCTGAGGCCTGCTTCACTGGATTTGAAATCACTGCCAGACTGTCCGAGAAGCAAGGCGTCGAGGGAGTATGATGATTGGTACAGTCTCCGGGGGTTCAAAAACTTCAACATTTGTCCAGATTGTTACAAAGGTGTATTCGCCGATACTCGTTTCGCTCTGGAATTCAAGCAGATCTGGCTAAATGATTGGTCTATCAAGCGGGCGTGCGACTTTAGCAACCCGTGGTCGCGCCTTGCTTGGTACCTCATTGTCAAGCAGCGTCGGAAATCACTCGATATTCTCTTCGCCGTCGCAGATATTACCGACACGTACAAGCCGTGCCCTGGCGATCGTGAAAGGGACACCAACGAGGTCAGCTGGTATGGTATCGTTAATCAGCGCGACGGTATGTTTGTGCCCAACTTCGCCATCTGTTCAAGTGACAGGCGACTGGCCGAAGCCTTGTTCCCGAGCATGCGTGGCTACTTTCCCCGGATCACTACTGGCTATTCCAACATACCAAGTAAATATACCTGCAGCTTCCGTACAAGCTCCCGCCGCCACATGAAGTACCTGGAGCTTCTGATGGAGCTTGACGATGAGGCACAGTATTCCGGCCGTCGACCCGACATTGACCGTTTTGTCGACCTTGCGCGTGACTATGCCTTCAAGGGCGAATGCGCAAGAGACAAGGCGTTGTTCCGCAAGCCATGGTACTTTATTCCTCAACTGCCCGAGTTCACCGTGTGTGAGGAATGTTACGATAGATTTGTCTGGCCTGCCATGCAGTCCAAGTCGGTACCCTCTACCATACCTCGTTTGTTCAACAAATCCATCCAGCTAGTCCCTGGCGAGGACCCGGATGCCGGGTCGAGCTGCTGCCTGTGGAGCCCACGGATGCGCAAGGTCTGGGTGCGAAGTGTCGAAGACGAGGACTTTGCATATCTAAAGCGAAAGGCTTTAGAGAGGAAGAAGGCACAAATTGCCAACGTAAGAGATAGAAAGGATATTCTCAGAGGACTGGGTAATGCGGAGCCGGGCGATAGCAAGTATGAATGGGCGAAGCGCGAGTTGGAGGTCTTGGACCGAGAGTGGGCGTCGTTTGAATGAGTGGATGATACTAGATGTCTATGAGTGATGAAGATGGATACATTCGTATTCTGACGTAGTAAGAATGAATTTCATATTGTTAGTCCTAGTATACGATTGACTACTCCTGTGCAGATGCCAAGTGAGGCAATTCAATGCTCTCACAAAACTGCATTATACAAACACATCTTCACAACAACAAGCCATTCCATCACTCTGCTCTACCCAAGTCCACCTACCTACGCCGCCTCAGGGACATCCCACACCGCCGCAAAAGGATCCTCATCCCACCTCGTCACGCGATTATACTCGAGACTCCACCCCATATACTCGGCCACGGCCTCGCCATACACGCTCCCCACAAACGCATACATGGCATCCGTCCCCGCCGACACCCCGCTACTCGAAAAAACATTGCCGTCTGCCACCCACCGCGCCGTCGCTACCCACGTGATGTTCGTCCCGTGCGACGTCGCCCACGCCCAGCTCCGCTTGTTCGTTGTCGCGCGCCGCCCGGATAGCACGCCCGCGCGCGACAGCAACGATGCGCCCGTGCAGATGGAAATTATGTATTTTAGCCTGGGATACGTGGCAGCGATGAAAGCTATCTCGGCGCTCATGTCGCGGCGTGTGCCGCCGCCGCCCGGCACGACGAGCACGTCGATATCTGTCGACGCTTTGGCTGCCGAACGAACTGGCGCCGACGACGACGACGACGTGTCTGTGCAATTCCGCCTCGCGGCCGTGTCGGCAGATGTGTGTTCGCAGAGGTACTGCGAAAACGTGGTCGTGGGCACGATTTCCTGGCCGAATCCGCCGGGTAGCATGGCTGATGTTACGGGCGCCAGGGTGCGGCTTAGCACGGAGAGTTGCGGCGCGGGCGTGCTGTTGCTGTACATCATGAAGAGCGAGTTGAGGAGGTCCATGGGGCCGAAGATGTCGAGGGCTTGGTAGTGCGGGAAGACGAGGAGGCCGTAGTGTGTGGGGAGAGCACTGCTGTTTGTGATGGGGGGCTGGAGGGGGGCGCCGAGGGTTGGCGTGAGGAGGGATATGGCTGTGAGGAGGTGGTATGGCTTGTGGTAGTGCATTTTGGGTGTTAGTTTAGTTAGGAGATGGATGTGATGGATCGTGAGGAAGTTGTGTTGTTAAACAAATCCTGAGGAAATCTCCCCTCTGTTTTTTCTTTCCAGTGCAGAGATAAAAACGAGCACTGTGTGTGTAATGGAAGGGAGAGTTTGGTGAACAGAGTCGCCGAGTCTTCTTTGTTGTACCTTTCCTTTTTAACCATGTCTGACTTGTATATCTTGTACCCGCCATGACAGTGTTGCTCTGGGCTTTGATTCCTCATACTCCATCACCAAGACATGTCCCGCTCCGCTTTGATGGCGCCAAGGTAATCTACGCTGCTCAGGTATATTGATATTAATGTGCTCACGGTGCTGGGACTAGGCGTTGCGGGATCCCAGAGTCGTTGGCGCGCTGACGAAAACATGTCTCATCAAGTGACCTGCATCTAAAATGGGTAGTCAACCGAAATATTACCAATCAAGCATGTGAAAAATGTATGATTTTGCTGCTACGCGCCGTATTGCAGTTTCTTTGCTCGTTCGTCCCGGGGTAGTAAGTCTGGACCGTTGGTTGTGGGGACATGCATCCTCATGTTTGAGAAGGATTGAGACACTTGAGTGAAAAGAGACAAAAAGGCCTCTTTCAAACTCCGCTTGTGGAGCCTTCCTCCTCGTACATGGGCGGCGTCTTCGATTGGCAGGTTGCTGCGAGGTGTTGCCTGCAACGTGGGGGTGTGCGGCTGAGCAAGGCGTAAGATAGATTGGACATGAGGGGGTTGTGGAAATTAACACATATTGCGGGGGAAGAGCGGGCTTGCACGACGGGACTGTATCTAGGCGAGCAAGAGTCGATGGGTAGCCTTTTGGGGGCGAAAAAGTTGCTTGTTTCCTGGTTGGCGGGCGGGTGCCGTGGCCTTGGTCGCCTGTGCCTGTGTATGTGTGTTGCTTGGACAGATTCTCGGCCCCTAGATATAGGCAATGGGGGAGGCTCTATTAGGAAACGCGCGCTATGCGGCCAAGTGATCCTTGTGCGTTGGCTTGAACAGCCGCGCTCAACGAGAATAAGTGGGCTTTGAGCTCATTCTGTATTCTTGGGCTGTAGAACGCAGTCCGTGTGTTCCCTTGCCGTCTGCTAAAATTCTAAACAGATTCCGCTCGTTTGATGGCTAGTATGGATCGATCCAACTTGCAAGATGGTATAGTCTCGCGGTGTGGGCAATGGAATACTGTTTGAGCTGGAGCTGTCGTTGAACAGTACCTGGTTATGTTCAGCCGTACTGGGTAATAGGAGATAATATCTGAGATAGGAAAAAGAATTGTGTTCCGCAGTTCGAACTACCATGGCAAGCTGCGTTACTCCCCGCCATGGTCGTTTGGATCAAGCTTGAGTCCGCAATCTCCAAAAGAGGACGTCATGTCGAAAAGCGCGATGTAGATGAGTTGGCATGGTCAAAATAATTCCAGCCGTGGGCACAAGGTAATAGGCTCGAGATGGGTACCAGTACTGCCTGGTCCATGTTGTCATGATCCAAGTCATGTGAGCGCCGGACGGGGATGGCGCGCCAAGACCTCGGGGTTTCGCGCCTATGACGCACGCAAGTCGCGTGGTGCCAAGCTGAAATCTTGCATAGCAACTGCATCTCTCAGTCGACGCCAAATCCCATCTTTTGCATCTGCTCTCGCTTCGATGCATGTGAAAGCTTGCTGGAACACTTCTACCGCAGCAAGGTAGCATATAACGGCCCACGATGCCCTCACGACGGCCGGCCATCGAGGCGCGCAGGTCAACGCTCCACTATGAGACATTTCCCACGATCCCGCCCAGGACCCGCGGCCGACCACCCTCGACTTCGCCATCGCGCCTCAATCGCGACCTCTCGCACGACGGCCACGACAACCATGAGTCGCCGCTGCCCACGAAGCAGCTGATCGTGCTGGCGGTCATAGCTCTGGCCGAGCAGACGGCTCTCAACTCGATAAGCCCATACTTGCCCGAGATGACCAAGTCGTTTCCTGAAGTCAAAGAAGGACAGGGAGGGTTGTACGTTGGTCTGATCGCGTCATCGTTTGCGCTTGCGCAGTTCACCACAAACTTCTTCTGGGGCTGGCTGTCGGATAAGATTGGGCGGAAGCCCGTCATCATCATGGGCACCTTCTTGACCCTATGCTGTTTTCTGCTGTTTGGCTTCTGCACCAAGCTGTGGCATGCTATCGTCGTGCAGGCACTCATGGGCTTCGTCAACGGCAACTCGGGCGTTGTGTCGACGTGCCTGGGAGAGATTACGGATCGGAGCAACCAGTCGCGTGCCTTCACCTACCTGCCTGTTGTCTATGGTATCGGCGGTATCACCGGACCCATTGTGGGAGGGCTGCTGGTTCTCTACAAGAATCCCTTCTCACACAGCGAGGCAAATCCGTACCCGTACCTCCTACCCAACCTCTTTTCCGCCCTCGTTCTCGGCGTCGACCTGGTCGTGTGCATGGTATTCTTGGAGGAAAGCCTGGAAGAGGCCAAACACCTGCCTCCGTTGGGAAAGAGACTGGGCAACTTGTTCGCTTGGATATGGCAGTTTACAAGCTCGTCACGACCGACGTACGTGCGGCGCCTACTCGGCCAGCAGCAAAAGCACGATTCACGGCAAATGGATGGTATAAATGAAGAGGATGAGGACGAGGACGAGGACGATGTATCGGACGCCTCTGGCGAGTCTGCACCCGCGCTCTTCCCGCACAACGGCGAAGAGCTGACACGAAAAGAAATATTGAACCGGGATACGGTCCTGCTTCTCGTAACCTACTTCATCTTCCAACTGGCCAACATTTCGTACAACTCGCTGTATCCCATCTTCGCCGAGGAGCAGCCCCCTACGGGACGTGGGTTGAAGCCAGAGGCGGTCGGCTTGTCACTGTCGTTTGCAGGCGCTATTACCATAGTGTTCCAGGTGGGTATATTTGGACGATTGCGGGGCAAGCTTGGCAACAAGATGGCGTACCGTGTTAGCTTGGGGCTGTTCATTGCGGCATTTGGGCTCATGCCGTGGGTGGGTTACAAGGAAAGCAAACCATACAAAGGCATTGGCTCGGGGGCTGGGTGGTTGTGGTTCGAGCTTGGTGTCGTGTTAGTGATCAAGACAGTTGCCGGTGTCGGTGGCTTGACAGCGGCGCTTCTTATGGTAAGTGACTCAGTCCAGACAGACTCATGTCCGTCTCCGAGATACTAATCATGTGCAGATTACCAACTCAGCCCCCAACCACAACGTACTAGGAACACTCAACGGGCTTGCACAGACGCTCTCTGCTGCCGGGCGAGCAGCAGGTCCCTTCGTGTCGGGGTCGCTTTTCACAGCGGCTACCAAGCTGAAACCCAAGGGCGAGGCTTTGCCTTTTGGCATCTTTGCTGGGGTTTCGCTGGTTGGATTTGCGCTGAGTTTCGGCATCCGTGGAGAAGGGCTGGAAGCTGAGGGATGGAACGAAGAGGATGAAGACGAAGAGGAAGATGAAGAGGAGGAGATTGGTGGGGACGCAGATGAGGGCACCGGCTTGATACGAAAATGAGGGACACGTGGGGCATCTGTACTATAGCATGATTGCATGGCTTCGGCGGTCACTGAAGCTGCATGATGAGCGCGGCGTTGTATGGGTGGTTATAGACGTGAGCTGATATGCAACTTGGACGCCAAGAGTGCGGTTGAACATGTACTCCGGTGTGGGCTTGAATGCGGTGACTGGTGGTAGATGCAGTAGAGGCACGACAGACGCCAAGTGGTAGGCCGACAGGGTAGGGCATGGAATTTCGGGGCAATGAATCTTAGTAAGAAGATCGCAACCTCGCTTCCGACGAGGCGGGTGAAACAGGGCCTATGTGTTCAGCCGCAAAGACGGCGGGGGGCCGGACGGAGCGGCGTGTTTACTATACTACAGTACTGCGTGGATAGTAAACAGCGAGGATTGCAATGCTCGATGGATGCCGCCATGCAGAAGCTAGGCCAAAGGCACATACATGGCCTGTCGACATGGGTGGCAGTGTTGGAAATGAAGGAGTATTTTGGGGACCAGGAAAAGGAAAGCCGTGATTGTGGTTGCGTGACCCCGGCCATGGCAAGATTGGCGGCCGCAGCAGGGCCCACAGCAGCGAGTCGTGGACAGGAGTGGTGGTGGTGGTGGTGGGAGCAGACGGATGCATACTATTAAAAGTGCTGCGTTGTCTCTGCAGAGGGCTAGGCGTGGCCAGGCAACGGGCTACTGCAGTGAAACGCGATGGGCAATGCATGCCCAGGCGCGATGCCGAAGCCCGTCGCTGCGCCTTACCGCAAGGCTGGCTGATTCCCAGGACGTCTCCGCTCCAGCTGGGCGTGTTGGCGGCCAGCGTGCGGAGCTTCGTCGGGGGGACGCTGGTGAAGCTGACTCTCGAGAAACGCCAAGCGCCGTCACGTGCCGCCCGTGATTGGGTTGCATGCAAAAGCTTAGCATCGGCCGACGCCTCTCGACGTCGCTGCATACGAGGCCAAGGGGGTTCCCAATGCAGCACGGCCACCCGGTGAGCAACCACCATGCCGCGCCCACCTCCTCCTCGTGAGCTGGAGAAAAATAGCCCTCCCCCGTAAGTAGTGCTGAGCCGAGCACGACAGCCCTAACATAGCCCGCGAGCTACCCGTCTTGGGCGTCAGGGCTGAAGCCCGTCGAGCACCCGCGAGAATGCCACATTCACATAAGAGTCTCGCCGGCACGCCACGGCACCACCTCGTCCTAGTCGTGTGTCATCATTTCGCTTCTCTCGGTAGCCTTCCTTTGTGCCCTGTCCCCGTTTCCTGATAGTCTACCTCTCTGTCTCTGCGTCGACGGCATTGCCAAGATGGGTTGGAGTTTCCACGGCCACAAGCGCGACGTTGACGCCGAAAAGCACCTCAAGCGGCTACACAAGACGACGCCGTTCATCGAGAGCCCCCTCGTCGGTGCCGATCACGAGAGCCTGGTCTTTTCCCAGCGCCACGAGGCCAACAGCGTCGAATTGTTCTTCGACCTCTTCTTCGTCGCAAACTTGGCAACATTTACCGCCTACCACTCCATCACCGACGTCGACTACCTCCTGGGATACATTGGCTTCTTCGGCATCCTGTGGTCGTGCTGGTTCCAGATTACCCTCCACGATGTGCGCTTTGCTCGAGACTCGCTGTATGAGCGCGTGTGCAAGACGATTCAGTTCATCGTCTTCGTCGGACTGGCATTGGTGGGCAGCCAGTTCAACCCTGCAAACTCAAAGGGCCCCCGCAACAACACGGTAAGCTTTGCATTCCAGCAACTTTGAACGACGTGGTTTACTGATGAGCCCAGAACTTCCGCATCCTGTGCTACACGCTTGTCATCAGCCGTGGTCTCCTTGCCATCCAGTATCTCGTTGTCCTCTTCTTCACGTGGAGGGCAAAGTACTCCAAGATCTACCTGCCTCTGCTGCTCATGTTCATCATCTACGGAGTCAGCATGGGTGCATTCGCTGGAATGACACCTGCGTTCCGCGAGGGCAACCAGAAGAAACGGCACGTGTACCTGGTATGGTACGTTGTCATGGTCATCGAGGCCATCTTTGTCATTGCCATATCCTGTATTTGGCGTATGCTTAGTTTCAAGAAGACGCATCTAATGGAGCGCATGAGCTTGCTAACCATCATTGTTATTGGCGAGGGTGCCATCGGTGTCACAAAGACCGTGTCGCGAATCATGGGCAAGCACGGCCTTGATGTCGAAGGATGTTTTTTAATCATGTGCATCATTGTCGTTTTGGTGCTAGTCTGGGCCCTGTGAGTATCTAGCTACGATTCAGTGTTCAAGGCTTTGGGCTAACAACTCGACTAGCTACTTTGACAATTTCCCCCATGGGCACTATGGAACAATCCGACAGCAGATCTGGAGTCTTTTGCATTTTCCACTTCAGATTGCCATTGTCGGTGTAGTCGAAGGCTCCCAGCAGCTGGCCCTGGCCCGCTATGTCATCAACAACACCAACAAGGCCGCAGCCAAAGTCACAGAGTATTGCGTCAAAGAAAATCTTGACGGTGAAAAGCTGCAGGAAAAACTGCTCAGCCTGCTGGAATACTTTGAGCTCGACTCTAAGCTCGAGACTTTGAGTTTCTTCGACGAAGCGCAATCGGCAATCATAGAGATTGGAAAAACGGCGGGCATTTGCTCGCCTGAGAACTCGTCCAAGTACGCCTTTGGCACCAACGACGAAGAAAGCACCTGGCCCTATGCTTTCAGGAACGTGTCCTACTCCATCAGCAATGGCGTGTACACGGGTCTCGGCATGAAGCTTCCGGTGGACAAGCTCGAAGACCACAGCCCGCTGGAAGTCGGACTCAAAGCGTGGAAACTCGTCTACCTATACTTCTGGGCGTCCTTCTGCCTTCTGACCATCTGCTTTGTCATCTTCCTGTTCCTCATCCGCCGCCACAAGTCGGACCTCTTTGACTGGACATCGGTCATGTCGCGCATGGCCGCCTTTTCCGTCGGCCTCGCCATGCTTGCCCTTACTGCCGACGACACCAAAGTCTACGCTGCGATTGAATCCCCCGCTATGCTGCCCGTCTTGGTTGTGCTCCTCTTCCTGATCCTCACCATTGACAAATTAAGCGCAATATGGTGTAACCACCATCTCAAGAAGAGCGGCAAGCCGTATGCACTCGAAGTTGATGAGCATAGCCACGACCACCACGACCACCACGACCACGCTTCGCACGTTACCGCCCACGAAACAGGCCCCTTGTACGGCCACCTGTCGCACGATGCCGGCGCCGACGAAGAAGCTAACAAAGCCGCGCGGTGGAGCATGCACCCGGAAGACATGGTGCCGCTTGCGTCGCACCGCATCAGCTACAACTCATCACAACAGAGCCTCACCCTGCAACCAACCCACACCCCGCCGCCAATGGTGGAAATCTCTCATGTGAACCCGGATCTTGAGGTTCATACAGAGTACACGGGTGCCACGAGTACGGGTTATGCACCTGTCAACAACACGGATCCGCATCACGGGGCATGACATGTTTGTGAACCAACATTCCTGCGTTGAGTCTCTTTCTTTCTCCCTTGTAGTTCTTTTTTCCATTCATAATATGTTTTTGGTCATTTAGCGAGCGTGGCGTTTGTCTTGTTTTTTTTGTTTCTGCTTTTCCATCCTATCGGACATTTCCTTGTCTGAAAGCATGATATCCAAAGTCGGGCCACGCTAAAACAAAGGTTCGCGAGTCATTGGTACACGACGTTTCTGTGGCTACCACCACCAACAATCCCCTTTTTTTTCTTCTCAAACCCCCATTATTCTTGTTGATTATCAAGCATTGCCACTTGAAATAAAAAAAGGGCGCTGCGAACAGGGGAGGGCGGAGCCGTTCAACGAGACCCTGTTTACCCTGATTGTTAATGAGATGTCTTGAAACCCCTTGCGTAAACTCGGACCCCCGGGTTCATTCAACTTTATCTACTTCAGTGGCGGGATCACCCGTATACAACACCCAGGCGGGGCGTGTAATAAGAGAAACGAACAACATAAAACAAGCGCTCAAAGATGCATCAACACGCATTGTTCAGCGGAACATGAATGTAAGTCTTGTACGGCAAACGTAGGGCAGCCATGGACCAGGTGTGTGTGGGTGTGGTTATCGACTTGTTTGCCACGGTGTAACGTAGCATGGGTCCATGAATACAGAAGTCAAAGTTGGTACTAATACCAACACCTGTACGAGCCGTTGTCTCCAACCGCCAACCTTATGTAGCAAGTTTGACCCTCTTTTGATGTTTTCGGGCAGCACGAACCCCCCCTTGGTGAAAGCAAAATCACCGGTAATGACTGATGCATCTGCAGGAGTAGCGCCACGACTACTGGAAAAGAAGGGACATGCACTTGTTTATATTGTAGCCCCGCCCAAGCATGCATATATTTTCTACTGTGTCCATCTCTGCTCCCACGGCAATACCTACGTCCAAGTCTCCCAGTGGGCAGACGAGCACCGGATTCCGCACACGGTGATAGCTTGCGGCGACGCGCAGGACGCAGACAAGTGGCTGGAGTATACCTTGGACAGGTGTCGACACTTTGCCATTACCTTGCGTGAACGACACCAGGGCGTGCAAGAATCAGAAAGAGAAGCGTGGTTGAGGCCAGCAGGACAGGTTTCCAAGAGCGAGGACGTCAAGGGTGACGTGGGATCAGCAATGGAATCGCAAACAAGGTTCGAGAGACCGCCCAGAACGTCAAGTCGAACGAGTTGGTGCAGAGACATGCGTGAAGGGAGCTGCGGGAAGGTTGGGGCTGCGCCCTTGAATCACTCTATAAAAGTGGTCAAGTTTACCGAACATCAGCATCAAGGTATATTGCCCTCGGTTCCTCTTTTGATAAGCTCCAAGAGTTTTTTTTTTTACTAACATTTGACTTTGAAGATCTCAACGATACCACCAACCGCAGGATGGACTCGACGACTCAACACAAAGGACGACAGCGAAAGGACAGCGGTTTCGACGCCACGCAGCACCCAGGCTCGGGCCCTGATCGCGCTGCAATGATTCCCGTGGTGGCAGGAGAGCTGCCACGTTCCCACGATGGTGGTGCACGCACGCCCATAGTAATAACTTTCGGGCCGAAGCAGGACTTGGACTGGCTCCAGTTCTCGTATCTCGTCCAGAACAATCAATTGGGCTTGGACGAAATAGGCGGCCTAGTGACGAGATCTGCAAGCAAAGACCTCCCGCTAGAGGCTGGAGGCGAAACGTCGGTGATCACCAAGGAGCGTTCGCGCGAAGGCGAATTACGGATGCCTGCATCCCGACCCAAATCCGCCGAACGGGCTAGCAAATGGGACGGGTTCCCATTGGGCGAGCACACGCCTGGCCCAGAGCACACGCTAAGGCCCATTTCGGAAGCCGACGACGATAGAAGCTTTGTCCGGAATTCTAATGCGACAGTGGCAGCACCATCACTTGCCGACTCCAGCACCACCGCCTTGGGCGGCGAGGTACGCCTCTTCCGCAGCAGCATTCCTTGGACTTCGAGCGAAGCTGCCGTCTCGCGCTCCTGCTTCTCGTCCGACTCGTCGCTCGCCTCGGTCAACTGGCCGTGCAAACTCGCCGGACTCGTGGAAAAGCCAAAGTCGCAGACAAGGTTCAGGTGGATGCAGCCTTGGAAACGAGAGGCCCAGCATCATGTCACAGCCGAAAAAAGTCCTCGTTGCCCGCCAAGAAGCGCTACGCTCAGCCTATTGAGCAAGATGAGCTGCTTCAGCACCAGCAGCAAGCCAAAAAAGACCATCAAGAAAGACTCGATCAAGGACAAGACGGAGCGGAAACTGCGGAAAAGGCTCTCGCTGCGCGCAGACCCCAGCAGCGACCGCAAACCCGAAGAAGCCGGCAAGAAACGTGATCCTCCAAGGCGACCGGCGCGGCCTTGCACATCACAAGGTCTAGGCGTGATGCGACATCCCTGCAAACCCAATGGCGTTGGCAAATCCACCAACGAAGCCAAAGTCAACTCTGCTCCTGCTAGCGGTTTGAGCAGCGCCAGAAGCCCACCACCATCGCCGAGCCGCAGTCTGCCTCGCCACATCCAAACCGCGGCCCGCGGTGGAGGTGTATCGCGACCGTACAGGCCCAGCCCGCTCAAAAACGTAACCCGAGTCATGTCCATGGACATCAACAAGGGGCTTCCGCCGCTCCCGGCGCAAACCCCGAGGCGTGCAAGATCACCGACTATGTAACGAAGCGGCTGGTTCGTCAAGCGCTGCGAACACAGTGCGTGAAAGGGACTAGTGGGATGCGTCTGCTGTACGTACATGGTAACACATACTATGTGTAGATACCACCCACAGCAATACACCAGAGTCTGTATTGTACGTTGAGGTAGCGGCACACAAAGCTGCTATTACTACTTCATACATACATGGTAGTATAGTAGGTGCCTGGAAAAACAACGCAATCCGGCAAACAACGGAGATGAATCGGATGCCGCCGCCCATCTCCGAGAGATGCAGCAGCAAAATATGCAGGACACACACGGGGTTTCCCCGCCTCCATAAGCATCTCTCCCCCACATTCCGCCCTGCCAGGAAGAAACACTCAATCACCCAGCATGGGCTTGGTTTGGTTTGGCTTGGGGGGTGATCATCCTCCTCCAATGAAGCCACGCCAATGGCGTGGCTTCTTTTTTTTTTAAAAAAAAATTTCTTTTGTTTAGACACCCGTGTGGAGTAGCCCGCGGGGCAAGATGGGGAGGGGGGGAGCGGGAGCGGGGAAAGGTGCGGCACTGCACGCGTACGGGATGCAGATAAGTCCATGTGGTCCCGAGAAAGCACGCCAGAGCAACCGGCCGTGCATCTGAGACACTGAGGTGTATGTGATTCGGGATTTAAAAAAAAGAAGAAGTGTCAAGGAGCGGGGTTTATCGGGGGTTAGAAAGAGGGCGGGGTGAGGGGGGAAGCGGTATCAAAAAAAAAAGAAGAGGCGCGGGAACGCACTTTTTCCCTTGCCCCCGATTCAAAAGCGGCATAGAAGTATTACTCATTCTTATTCTTCTTCTTCTTCTTCTTCTTTTCTTTTCTTTCAAAAGACTTTTATATATATACTTTACTTTACATAGCTTGTTGCTTTTTCTTCTTCTTCTTCTTCTTCCAAGCAACCCAGAATCATAACTTTTCTTTGAGTCGATCAAACTACAAACAAACATATATACATACATATCAGAAGTTTGCATCTCCTTCCCCCCCCCCTCCATACTCGCAATTCACAACGATAACGGAAGACGACGGCGACAAGTAAACGAATAAACGAAACAAACAAACGAACATCAGCAGCAGCAGCAATGCCCAAAATAACAGATGAATGGGATCCTCCTCAACCCCGCTGGATCGCCGTAGAAAACTACGCCATCTCGCACCTGCACTCGTCCTCTTCCCCAGACACCGTGCCCTCGCCCGCGACGCTGCAGCACGCGCTCTCCAACTCGGCGAAAGCAGGGCTACCCGACATTTCCGTGTCGCCGTCGCAGGGCAAGTACCTGCAGCTGACTGCGCGACTGTCGCGCGCAAAGCGGATTCTGGAGCTGGGCACGCTGGGCGGGTACAGCACCATGTGGCTTGCGACAGCGGCGCCAGACGTGCACGTTACGACGGTGGAGCTGGATGCGCACCGGGCGCAGGTTGCGCGGGACAATATAGCGGCTGCGGGGCTGGCGGCGCGCGTCGACGTGCGGCTGGGTGCGGGCGTCGATGTGCTTGCGGAGCTGGGGCGCCAGGTAGCGGCCGGCCAGCGGGACGCGTTTGATTTCTTCTTCATCGATGCCGATAAGCCGAATAACTGGAACTACGTCGACTTGGCGCTGGGCATGTGTGTGCCGGGCTCGTGCATCATTGTGGATAATGTCGTGAGGAGCGGCTATCTGGTTGTCGAGGACTCGGAGAACGAGCGGATTGAGGGCGCGCGGCACGTGATTGAGAAGATTGGTAAGGACCCGAGGGTGGATGGCGTCGTGGTGCAGACGGTCGACGAGAAGGGGTACGATGGGTTTGTGCTGGCGGTTACAAAGTAAGTAGTAGGTAAGCTGGGCAGACCACGTTTGGATCCGTGGCTCAGAGGCAATCATATGTGGTGTATTTTTGGAGCATACATTATCATTACTACTCCTGATACAGCTACCGCCTATATTCATCGTGTTATCGTCGTCGTCATTGTCATCTTTGTCGTCATCATGAGCATAATCATCGTCCCAGGGTACTATGGAACCTTCACCTTCTGGAAAAGGCCCCTGCACCGCACAACTTCTATGTCTTCAAAATACTAGCAGCGAGCAGGATTGCGGCGCTAGTCTTCTGAACCCACTCTTGCGCCAAGTCCGCATCCTTGTCAAAAGTAATACTCTCTGTAATACCAGGGAAGGTGACAGGCGCGTATCCAGTGTCCCGTCCTGGAGCAAAGATGGTGTGCTGGTAGAACTCACGGGTAGGCAGACCGCCCTGGCTGGTAAATCCGCGAGAGAAGTCGCGAGCCTTGTGGTTCTGCACAGTGATGAGCGCCGTTTCGTTGGCCGCAACCGCGTGCTCTCGAAGGTCGACAAATTCTTGAGCAGCCGCCTCAAACTGCGAAATCGCAGCAGTAAGGTTTGCAAGATCAACGGTAAAGTTGCTCGCGCTGATTTCTTCCTTGAGGGCATCCAGATACGTGTTGAGCTCAGAGACATAGTCTGCTGGCTCCAACGGCACAACGGGATCGGAAACCATGTGGTAAAGCACAAGTGTGAGGAACTGACCCATGGCCTTGTGTGTCGTGAAGCCCGGGTCACCAAAGGTCGACATCCAGTGGTAAGAGTCGTAGTTGGAGTGGTAAGGGTAGATAGGGTCGTCTGGACCCCCACCGGCTCCCATGTCGATAGCAGCGATACCACGGTGGAGGAAGGCGGTGTAGTCACTTCCGCTGCCGAGGACGCCGACTTTGCCAGACTCATGCGTCCAGACATCATACATGGTTAGGCTAGATTCGTTGCGGTAGGGGTAAACAACCTTCTTCATCAAACTGGTGGCGATAGCGTGAAGGTCAGGAGTTGCGGAGACGTCGGGGATCTAAACATGGTCAACATGGTCAGTGTCTCTCACAATCATGCCATTCAACTATTACTTACCGGTCCTGACACGGCTACGTCAATGTTCAGGTAGGAGACTGCGGCATTCTTGAGCCATGGAATGTATTCTTCCATCCACTCGGTGCTAAGGCATGTAAGCAACGACTTGTGCCAGTCTTATGTAGAACCATACCTCCCGACAAGACCATACTCCTCGGCATCCCAACTGCAGAGCACAATGGTACGCAGTGGCTTCCATCCAGTTTCGGAGAGGGCACCAAATGCCTTGGCAAGCTCAATAAGTACAGCGGATCCAGAGTTGGGATCGGCTGCTCCGCCAACAATCCAGGCATCCCTGTGGTTTCCAACAATGACCACCTCATCTTGGTTCGTACCGTTGATAACACCGACGGCATTCCAGATTGTACCATATGTGTCATTCATCATGTTAGACATGGACAGAGTCGCGCCGGATCCTTCTCCGGTGTAGTAATCGACGCCTGGAATCGCACCAACCCAGCGGGTCCTGTTGACTTCGGTGCCATTAGTTCCAAAGCCATTAAGAGCTTGCAAAAGGGGCTGTGCCTCGATCCACGAAATGGGTAGACTGGGAATCTGTGGCAGGATTTCACGGCGATCGGAACGTGGGGAGTCTGGCTTGGACACATAACCAGGCGTGGTTGGGTCTCCTGGGTATGTACTCAGAAATTGAACCGATCCGCGCTGGACGGTTGTGGGGTTCCTGGCACCACCGTGAGGGTAGGGGGCGACTCCCTTGGCCCTAAGAATATTAAAAATGTGCGTTACATGCTAAGAGAATTGCTTACTCGGTCATGTTACCATCATCACCAGGGTCGGAGAAGATGACCGCGCCAATCATGCCATGATCCTGGGCGTTCTTTACCTTGAGACCTCGGAAAGGTCCACCATACTTGGCCAGCGCAATCTTGCCTTCCAGCTCGACGCCAAGCGCTATCAAACGTTCAAAATCGACTTGCTGGCCCCGACCAACGTAGACATATTCTGCAGAGGCGTTGCCAGTGAAAGAGTAGCCATGGAAGGTGGGAATACTGTCTGCGTAGCTGGTAGTCGGATCCTCTTCCAGCACCGCTTCCTTGAGGCTTGGGGTGTATGTGCTACCATTCTTGTAGGTGAGCTCCAATGAGTTCGATACGGGATAGTTCAAGAAGACGTCTGACACAGTCAATTGATGACAGTCTTTTGATCCGGCTCACAGCGGCACTTACAGTACTCGTCCAAACGAGAGGTAAATCCATACTCGGCCCACTTGTCGGCAGTCCATTGTGCTTTGGGGGCTAGTTAGTTCTGAGGTGGTTATGATTGGTTCAAGTAGCAAATTACCCATTGACTTGTTCTGGCCAGCCAAATGAGCGCCATGAGCTGCATTAGGTTAATGACATGTACTTATCCGAAATTTGCGAGATTTACTGTAGTAGTATGACCATTCAGAAATGGACGTGGCGTCAAACGAGTTGAGCAATATCTCCTCATGGGGAGTCAATGCCGGGGGAAACGACGTCTGTCGCTTGACGTGCTTATGGGCATGATGGTGAAATGCACGTTCACGCTGACAAGCCTGAGCGCCAATGGCTGCAAGTACCAAAAGTGATGGTCTCATGTTGACGGACGAGTGGAGCAGAAGGACATTGGGTATTTGGCATCCACCGATTCCCAGCGTTTAAATAGTTGCAGACAGACATGACACGACGTGGGTTGCGAGGGAGCGATAACGTCAATGGTTCCACTCGCGGCACAGTTACCGCAAACCAGTATGTTGGCAATGACGCTGGACCTGCTCGTTACATGCTCCGTAGTCAATTGCGGTGCAGGACAGTCTGAGTGTAGAGCCGGGAGAGACTGGATGCCTAGGAGACATATTGGCAATTGGCTAACGCAGTGGGGAAGGTCGCAGAGATGGCGATGCGAGACGCGGCATCGACGGTCTTGGCAGTGAACAATGACGAGATATGGGGTGGGTCGGCTTGTTAGCTTTGGGCACAAGGACGGACGAGTTGTTTCCGAGGAGTAGCCGGTACACAGCAGAAGTGTATATGTCGAGCGCGACGGGGAGCCCTGGCCAAGGGTGTGGTTGCGGTGCAACGGGCCAACACTTTTAGCGGAATGCCGCATCGGGCCACGAGGAGGAGCAAAAGCAAGAGCGGCAAGGGCAAGCTTAGGCGAAGGCGAAGCCATGGGGGCATCGTGGGCACAGAGCACAAGATGCCCGCGTGCGGATGAAGTTGACCCAGTGCGGGGAATCGCTACCCGCAACGGCAATGACGCTCTCTTCCTTTACCATTACTGTTGCCATCTCTTTCCGAGCGCATCGGCAGGGCGGCGGGTCCAGGGCCAGAGTGGCGAGCGGGAGGGCGGAGCATGCAGGGAGGGTATGTAGCAGCGCGGGGCCGGCATGGAGCGGCGCATGAGCGATAAGGACGGCGGAAGCGGTGGAGGCACTGGCACTGGCACTGGCACTGGCGGCGGTGCCGGACGAATATTTGTTTGTTTGGTTGTTGGCGGGCTGGACGAGACGAGACGCGAGGAGACGCGTAGAGAGCTGAGCAGCTGGGCGGGCGGGCGGCTGGGCGATTGGGGCCGGAGCGCGCGTATTGGGGCTAGGCCGCATCGGGGCTAGCGGATGTGCGGGTGGAGAGTGCACTGGCGCTGGTGCAAGCAGCACATTCTACCTTGTGCGACTACACGACAAGCACACACACTCTCACACTCACACCCGCATCCACACCACGCCAATGGGCGGAGCGACGCACGCTGCTGCAGTCAACAAATCCTTGCGCCGCCCCCGTCAACAGATCCCCCAGCTGCCGGCAGCTCGCCCGCCGTGGATGAAACAGACGGCCGTTCCACCCGACCAAGCAAACGCTCCCACTCACACCATCGCCGCGCGCCCTCGTCATCTTTCGCGCCCCGTCGCAGCTGCTCCTTCTCCAGCCCGCCTGCCACCACCACCGCTGCCGCCGTCGCCGCCCACCCATTGTCGCTCGCTACCGCCATGGACGCCTTTTCGTCCCCCGTGCGCTTGATGCCGCCCCATACGCCCCGGCGAGTCCCGTCGCCAGTCATGTCGCCCAACGGCAGGAGAGGCCGCCCCGAAGACGGCCGTCTGCGCGACCTGTCGCCCGAAACAACACTGCGCGCCTTCACCCACGACCCCATGCCCTTCGACACCACCCGCGACGAATACAAGATCTTTGCCTGCATCGAAACCCTCACCGTCGCCGAGCGAGACCTGGGCGCGCGCGTCGCAAAGGCAGCCCAACGCCTCAAGGCCTGGTGCGCCGAGATCGAGCAGTGGGGTTGGTCTGGCAGCTTCGAGCAGCCCAGCGCCGATGCCCGTGAGCAGAAGAGGAGGAGCATCGAGCTGCGCATCAGACAACATGTCGCCGACCCGGACTTTGCCAACATCGTGCCGCCGCTGGAATACTGGGGCTCTCTGCTCTCCGACGAGGTGCAGCAGTACGAGGCGCGCCTCGACGACATTGAAGACGAGATGCTCAAGCTCGACGTCGAGGAGCTCAAGGAGCACGTTTTGGACATGCATCCCGCGGGCAGGGCCCGGCCTTCTGCCGGCTTCCCAGCCACCCGTCACCACTACAAGGTCATGGACGACTTCTCCTTTCTCATTACCCAGACCCTGCTGTCGGCACTGCCGCATCACGCCAAGCTCAAAGATCGCCTGGGTACCTGGACAGCCCGCGTCTCCATTCTCCGCCAAACACCCCGTTACCTCAGGGACCTGGAGACCGCGCAGAAGGCTATGCGCCTGGGCTGGGACGCCATCGAGCCACCAACAGACTCGTCCGATCTCGCCTTCGAACAATGGAAAGAAGCCGTGGATACAATCTCGGCCACCCTCCACCAAAGAGTCAGTGATCTCGGTCGGCGTTTGGACAGGATGCTCGACACGCTCGAGGGCCGAGAAGACTGTCTACCAGACCACTGGATAGATACATTTGAAGCCACAGAGGCAGACTTTGGGCGGTGGAAACACGAGTCAAGAAGGCGGCTCATTGACCTCGAGGTGCGAAGACGAGCGGAGAGCTCTACCGCACCCAAGACTCCTGGTCATGAGCAACATTCGTCAGTAGATTCCGGCTCAAGTACGACTCCTGTCAACAGCTGTGCCAGTAAAGATATGTGTGCTGATGCAGACAATGATTCTCGCGCAAACAGGCGTTCAATCACTGCGTTCCAATCAGACCCACTCCATCCTCCAACAGACTGGGCTGGGTCTATAGATGAGATTTTGTCACCCAAGATACGCTCAACAACAGCGCGCCAAAGCACCGTTGCCCTGCCTGGTTACCAACATGACGCTGCTACCAGCCATGACGCGTCTGCCGAAGACGACTCTCTTCGTGGATCTGGCAGCAGCAACTCTACAATCGACACGGTGAACTCGTCAAAAGGCAAATCACTACCAGCAGAGGCTTCCAATGCCTCTGGTGGTACATCGTTGCCCATGGCAAGCGTGCTCCCAGACCAGATTAGCTTCGAGTCGGAGCCTTCTCCCTCTGAGGATGAGTCCGAGTTTGACGAAGGCGACACCGTTGTGCATCACGTCCTTGAAGAGAGTTCAGAGCCTAGTGCAGTCCAGTCCGAATCCGAAACATCCGTGCCAGACGAACCCCGAGCGGATGGTTTATCAGAAAGCCACACGCACGGTCGCCCCGTCCCTCTCGCACTACATGGTGACCTAGCCGTTACCGCTAATGGTGGCCAGGATCGTGCTGTACTGGACCCCCCTCAAACACCACGCTCATGGAGAGGTAGCCTGGGGTCATTCTCCACAGACATGTCACCTGACTCAAGCCCGCACAGTACCGTGGAAGAGTCTCCGTCTGTACTTCACACCACCAACCGTGCAATGAGAGGGCCTCGCCCTGAACTCAATGCCACCGTGGCAAAGCGACGACTGGACCATGATGCCGTTGCTCTTGAACGAGATTCTGAAGGCGCGCCATGGCCACCATCGCGCTTCGTCCAGAAGCCTTCGACCAGTGCACAAGAATTGGAACAAAAGATTTCCGATATCCTAACAACTATTCCTGCCCACATCAGGCTGACATCAGGTCCTGGTCCTGATGCACCCGAAGTGAAACCAGCACGTGGCCTCGCAGCCAAAGGCAGCCGCCCATTCCTACGCGCAGCCCGTTCAGTGAGTAACTTGAAAGCGCCTGAGCTTACTCTGTCGCCTGCCAAAAGCGAATTCGAGCTCAATAATCCTGCCTGTGGACGTAGATCTGCCGCAGCCAGAGGCGACAACGACATCAAGCTGTATCACCTTACACAACCAGGCAAGGAGCAGCCCATCAAGCTATTCATTCGTCGCGTCGGTGAGAATGGTGAGCGCGTCATGGTGCGCGTTGGAGGCGGTTGGTCTGACCTCGGCGAGTACCTGCGTCAATACGCTGAACACCACGGCCGCCGAACAGCAAGCGAAGGCAAATTCGAGGTGCTTGGTCTTGAAGTCAAGAACGTGGAGAACTCGCCCACTCGCCCCGAGAGCCGGCGCGAGAGACGCATCAGCATGGGCTACCCCTTTCCCAGCCCTTCGACCACGCCAGTCAAACCATCGGGCTTGGGCGTCGGCATCTCGATAGACAGGACACCTCCGCCCATGCCCAACTTCCGGGTATCGACACCAGACGCGACCGAAGGACCAGTCATGTCTTCCACCACACCGTCCGGCAGCCCGTGGCAAGGCCGCGAAGTTGGGCTCGCGGGCCCAAACACAAAAAAGCTTGAGCTCAGCGGCGAAAAGCTGCAGTGGATCGAGGGCATGATGAAACAAGTTCGTACCGTGAGCACAAATGCAATCACAATCGATCGCCCGCCTTTCCAGCGCGACGAGCGCCCAGCAACAAGTGGCGGCGGAAGTCGTCCAGGCAGTCGTCCAGGCAGTCGTCCAGGTAGTCGCGCCGGCCTAGGCGGAACCCTCGGCGGCAAGAAGACCGAGTTCGCCGACTTGGGCAAAGTTGGCGGCACAAGAAGAGTGTTTATGAAAGGTGGAAAGTCGAATTTCGGTCCTGGCGAGCAGCAGTAACCTGAGTGAGTGAGTAAAAGCAGGGTGAGCGTCCCAAATTCCCCCCAAAAGGCGCGCTCGACTCGTACTCTAAAACAACATATGATACCCCGGGGCTTTTGTTTTTCTTATATGTATATTTTAATCTTATGGGACGGGTCGGTATTTTTTCTTTTCTCTTATCTTTGTCGTTTTTT